CTCTCGTTGTTCCCACCGTAATTACTCAAATGATATAACCTTTGGATGGCATCGAATGTGGTTCTAATGATTTTGAAATTTCTCCCCTCTCTCGATATCCCTCTTCTGCTCTCGTGTTCATCGCACAAAGGCTCACACTTTCTTGCCCTCTCAGAGGAATGCATGGTATAAAGAATACAACAGCTTATATATGAATGCTTGTATGCTTATATGTGTTGTTCAGAGGAGGAGTTTACCCTCTAATGTTACAAGCAGAGAACACGAGTGTGCCTGTGTGCATAGATATTTCTCGACCACCCCATACAATTGTGATGGTTAGTTCTCTAAGCCAACAAGATAATCTTTCAAGGGCGAGTGAAGCAGAGCTTACCTTACCAGACAATTGTACTATTTACATTACTAACAGTTGTGCCAACGGGATAATATTATGTAGGAGCAGACAAGGGTCTTTCCATCTCGAACAATTGTGATGTTTAGATTGTTAACTACTGTGTTAATGAGATAATATCGGCGAACACTGTGTTAGGTTTTATTGACAGTGATTCTGACAGAGAGAAATGTGTATTTAAAGAATATAAAATAAGAGTAAGATAAAATAAATGCATATAGAAATCTTTATTTTTTTTCATTTAAAAAATGTCATTGATACGTGCATTAACATATATAAGATTTTATATAAAAATATGAAAGATTTGCATATTATAAGATTTTTTATAGGGATATGAAAGACCAACATACATATTGAATTATTTTCCTTGGTTTACTGTAATTTACATGCGTGATTACTCATGTTATTTTTAGATACCTTATTATGTTTCTTTAATATTTTTTCTTTTAGCTTTTAATAGAGGCGAGAACACCAATCGGAAAGGAGAACTTCAACTTGTTAATTTAATTATTTTCTTTGGTGACTCTATCATTTATATGTGAATATTAAACTATTAGTAATAGAAATAAAAAAAGAGAATACTTTCACCGTCCAATTATTCATTCACGGGGCTTGGAACTAATCAAGACATGTCATGCAAGGTAATAATTCACATTACCATGAGATTTCTAAGTTTATTGTTGATTTTCCTCACACTAAGCTATAAATATATAAATATAAAGAACCAATAACATAATTTAATTTCAAAATCTTATAGGAAAATAGTACGAAAATTCATACAATCTAATTTATAATAAATTATATGCTTTGCTTCTTTTCGGAATCATAATCCGTTAGAAATCATACTCTCAGCAGTTTATACTCAAAGAAATGATTTAGAAATTCGAAAAATAAAAGAATAAATAACAGAACATACAAATGATCTAATAAAATGAATCAGGCGATTCAATTGATTTGTAGATGACTCAATATTCGATTGGCCACCCTTTTAGGGAACATTACATGCGTACCACAATGCAATTGCGCATCTAACAGCTAAAGTTTTTTATTTACTCTAATATAACACTTCTGAAGTCATGAACCCATCCATAAATATGCAAATTTCACTTGAAAAAAGAAAAAAACAGTTTAATAATGATGAGATTTTCAATGTGATGTTAAGATTTTAATTATTATAAATATAAATATGAAAATTTAGGTGTTACATATGTTAAAAAAACAACAAAAGAAGCTCAGTGAACAAGCTTTACTTTTTATTCCTATATTTTAATATTTACATTTAAAATAATAAAAAAAACTCTAATAAATTCAAATAAATATAATTATTCTTAAAACACTCACAATACTTCAAGAATTATTTCATATCCTTTAAAAAATTTAATTTATTTTATAAAAATAAAAATAAAATAGAAAAATATTAGACCAATATATTTTAAATAACAAACCTAAAAAGAAACCACAATAAAAAGGAAGAAATACATCACAGAATTTCAGAAAAAAGCCCACTTCACTCCATGGACATTAGACTTGAACGGAGCGATCCGTCCAGTATAGATAATATACTAGATCAAATGTCCAATTTACACACAATATATATATATATATATATATATCACGAGCTCCCAATTTAGAATATAGAATTAATTTAGGCTTTCAATAAACAGAATAGAAATGGTTTGAAACTAAATTAGAAGCATTCAAAAAAAAAAAAAAAACAAAACATTAGGAAATATTTACCAAGGCCATCCCTACTGTGAATAAACATCCTACCTTCAGACTAAACTATTCCTGATCAAAAACATATCAGCAGACACTGTACAAAGGAAAGAGTCCATCCCAAAACTAATTACAGAAAATTCATTCAAAATTTTACATCTATGGGTCATGTTAATTGCGCTATGCTCTGTCTGTAATCCTTCTTTGAATGCCCTTGCGCACCATGAAAGGATTTTTTAGTTCAGTTCAACTTTCGCATTGTCGCCGTTCTGTTCGCTTCTTCGAGGCCTCCAGCTGTTAAAATTCCTTTCCCTCTTAAAATTTCTTTGATGATTAGGCTTCAAATCATGATTGCTAGAAGTTCTTTTAGGCATTCTTACTGATCTGCTTTTTCTGTGTCCCCAATCTTCTTCACATTTAGCTTCGAGATTTAATTTATGCAAATCAATACGACTTTTTTCTTTCACAATTGCTTCGGGTGAGGGTGATGATTGACCAGACTTGGTTATAGAATTTTCGGGGACATGTTGATGCCTTTTCGCAGAGATGGTAACAACTCCTGCCTCCATTTGCTGTTCAACAGCTTCACACTTCCCATTAAATGGTGGCATATAGCAAAACCTAAGCAGAAAGGATAGAAAATATGGATTGGAAATACTTAAAGATGATTTATAAATAAAAAAATAAATAAAATAAAATAAAATAAAATAAAAAATAATAGAACTGCACAAAATGCATCTGAATTGATAAGAAGAAAAAGTTTAGCGTTACAACACCACCATTTGGTCTGTTAAGCAAATAAATATTCTGGAGAAGGTGGATTCAAGGTAAATTCAATGAAGTAGGGAGGAAAACAATTATGTAGCCTGAAACTTCAATAACTTTGATGAGTACCTAATAAGAAATGGTGAGAACTATTGCAAGAACTAATTTCTGTTAGTTTTTATTCACCCAACTATAGAACCTGGACTAGCCACTCATCAGCTGGCAAGAAGCACATACTCTATATTTTCTTCGTCTTGTTATTATTATTATTATTTGTTCTGGCCTTTCTTAGTGAACAACTTTGATGTACTATTTTCTTTAAGTACTTAATGATATATTAGCTTTCAAAAATAAAACAAAAGAAGCACATACTCCAGTTCCTTCTCATGTTATTGCTAATATGTGGAACATAAGCTTAACCTGACAAGCTCACTGCCAAGGCGATGCTGTTCCATTCACCCTCACCAAGCTTACCTAAGTTCGGCCGCTCAGTATTGTCAAGATATCACACTCCCCGAATATCATTCTTGCTTCAATGTTCTAGCTCACTTGCATGGTGCCATCACCTGCCTCGTCAAACTCATTACTTGAGAACCTGCTTTGTGCATCCTCACGCTCGTTGTTTGCGGGCAATTGCTCGTTAATGTTTCTTGTTTAGCATATTAGTTCTATTCTCTAGCCTGTGCATAATTTAGGGTCTGTTGGGACAGCTGTAGCTTATCCAAATAAACAACTTATCCCGATAAGCTGCTAATCAGCAGTTGACACGGATAAATTGGTTGGTTGTTTGGTTTGTGCGTTTGGAAAATAGCTGATTTACAACTGTTTTTAAAAAAATGATCATTCAGTACCTGTGCAGTAATGTTGTTTGCAACAGAACTATCATAGCAATAAAATTGATGCTTGAAAAGCAAAAAACAACTGCAAAACAATACAAAAAGTAAGTTAAGATATAAAAATAAAATATTACAAAAAGAAAAAAAATCATCCTATTTAATAAATAATCAAAACGAATCGTCACAAAAACGAGGAAGTTCAAGTTATTTATGTTTGATTTTAAAATTCCTAAATTTACAATATGATAAGTGTAATTTATAAATAATCAATCAATTTGAGATTTACTACTCCTAACAAAACTTTGTGAGAGAATTACACCCATGGCATGGGGAGATTCATACAAAAAATTTAAAAAACGCCCATGCATTTCCCATGAGATGTTGAAATCTTTATAAGAAAATCCTAAAAAAATTTTATCAAAAACTAATCAGAAGATCATAAGGTCAAATAAAAAAGTGTTCAAACTAATCAAATAGAATAAAATTTCAAATTCTGCTTCTGTTGAGTTAAGAATGTAGAGTTTACTTGGAGCTGAATATAGCTAATTTTGAGCAAACCATTCTCATATACATGAACAATGGCCAAATGAGTGAATGACTATACCTAAATCTCTATTTGATGAGGCTACCTAAGTTACAATTCTCTACCGTTCTACCTAAACCAAAATTTCGCTATGACAAAAAGGCCACAAAGAGCTAAAATAATCTTAGAATTCTAGAGCCTATGGAAACAGACTAAAAACCTTTACTGAACAACAATACAAAAAGACAGTAAATCAGGATCCAAAAAAAAAAACCGATAACCCACTTGAACAAATATAATCAAGCTCCTCTATGACAAAAAATAAATAAATAGGTAAACAAATAAAAACAAACTTGCTAATCTTGAGATGAATTGTGCACTTTTCTAGCAATTTCAAAAAAAAAAATCAATGCTATTGAAATGAATTTTTACAGTGCCAGGGGATTGTGTAGTTCACTAGAAATGCTATGCAATTCAATGCCATTAATAAATTGTTTAATTCTCAACTTTACCATGCAAGAAATTAATCTCCATTTTCCTGCATTTAAATATACTCCAAATCTGACAATGCATAGCGACCAAGCATATAAACAATAAACAGAAAACATGAAATAAACAGAAAATTTGAAAGACAATTATAATGTCTGAATAATTGCAAACCAAAAGGTGCCCAAATTGGATATTCTCTACATGTTGGAAAACTTTGGGGCAAGGAGGAGAGACTGGAGGGAGAAGAAGGCGAGCTCTTTGTGTGGAGTGGGGGGAAAGCAAGGAATGATGCCTAAAGGGAACACATGGCATAGGAAGGAGAGTTGCTACGGCCGAATAGTGCGGCTTACTCGCGCGGTGGACATTGACGTCGAATCGCAGGAGACGAAGCGGGCGGCGCCGTCTATTTGTGATGAGGCAACGTTAAGGTCCCAGAAAGTTGCATCCACTGCTAGATGGAGGCTAGCCATTTATTTGTTCTCTTCTTTTGCCCTCTGGTGGATACTCTCGCCCCGATGTTTTATGGTAGGAGCAGAACAGAAGGATGAGAAAGATGGGAGTATCGCTGGTATTTGTATGTGGTGATCCCATTGTGGCCTTCCCTACTAGTTGTAATCGCGACTATATTGTGAGGTTTCATTCATGAAGGCGATGGTTTGGGCGAAATCAAGAGAGCGGGAGTGATGTAGGCGAGGCTTCGGGTTGCGACGACAAGCAAGGCGTGTGTGGCAAATGACCAGCAAGCATATTCTTCAATCATCTTCTCCTTTGCGACTCTTCTCTTTGGGACGGGTCTAGGGCAACCCGTCAAAATATTTCCCGAAATGCGGACCAAGGGGTAGCTCCACGGTCCGCGTTTAAGCTAAAACCCAAACACCATTTTCGGAGATGCTGGCCAAATGTAAAATCTAAACTGTGATGCAGCGTTTTCAAAATGCCTCCGCAGCTGATAATCTGACCCAAACACACCCTTAATGGGTCATTGGCACAACAGCCTCATGGAGTGACCAATTATTGTTTGAAGCTCGCGACCTTTGTTTCTTAGGCAACTTAGTTTTCGCCCTTGCATCCAATAGACTTATATTATTATTTTTTATTCCTGCCATCAAACTAGATTGCTACATTTAGCTTTGAATTGTATCACAATTACACTTCCATTTTTTTTCCTTGAATTGGAGCTTTTTCATGCATCTGTTAACAAACATCGATCGAGCTCGCCAAGGAATTTGAAGACTTATGTTAGGTACAAGATTAAAAGTGAAATTTAATTATTTGTTAGTTATTATTGTGGGGTATAAATAGGGCTTAAGATGTTTAGGTTAGGGTTTGGGAGAGATTGCCAACCACTCAAATTGTAGTTGTCTATCATTTACGTATTCGGATTGTGTTGTTTGGTGTTGTTAAAAAAATATTTTATTTCGCCCAAATTTCTATGAAAATTTTTATCAAATTGGTATCAAAGCATTTCGCCACAGCTCCCCCTCGCATCGTGTTGAATTCGTCGAGCCATCCATCACTGTCTGCCTTCATGACTAAATCTCCTGACACAAACGTGATTCAAAGCCGAGATCACATAAAACCTACTGATATAATCGCGATTTGAGCGATCGAGGAAGCTAATGATGGGATCGTCCTTACGCCACTCGATACAAAATCACAATTCGAGCAATCGAGAAGCCAAGGACAAGATCACGACTTACAAAGCGATACGGTCCCTCAATTTGACCTTTATGGGATGCAAACAATGAGATCGCGACATACAGTGATCGAAAATCGCGATACGGTCAATCTAGCCAGAAAAACAATGATGGGATCGTAATACATTTCAGACCGATGCAATCAAGATACGGTTAAAGATTCGATCTAGCTAGGAAGGACGACGATGGGATCGTGATACATTTTCGATCGATGAGAATTTCGTGACCGAACCACGTGAAATAGTCGCCTTTGTGACCGAACCTCGCGATATAGTCGCGACTCGTGTTAGCTAGGAAGTCAATGAAAGGATTGAGGCGTACATGAGTTCTTCCTTTGTGATCGAAAACCTTCCTACGAGTAATGGTGGTCAAGAAAACTAATGCCTTGGAGGAGAAATCAGAGGAAGAGTTGAGCCAATCAGATATGAAAAGGAGGACCGTTTCTCGTCCATGGAGAGGAGATTCATGCACTAGAAGAAATGATGAAGAAGATTGTGGAACAAACCCGACGCCAGCTACCACATGGTTGAGTGACGATATTTGGAGTAGATGTGTGTGGCAAAAATCAGAAGGATTTCCGCGGCATCAAGATAGTATTGTTATCTTAGACAAATCTAGATCTAGAGCAGTGAAATTTAGAGAAGGAATGGGAAGAGGCCTTGAGCATGCAAAAATCCTGAGATTAGGGGTTTCTCCTATTAGTGTGTGCCCATATCATTACTCGAAGGTACAGAAGGACAAGATCGAGAGATGGATGCTAACGATGTTGGAGGCTTGAATCATGACTTAGTGTGAGGTCCTTCTCATTATTGAAGGAGGATGTGAGTTGGTGCTTCTGTGAGGATTATCGAAAAAATTGATGAAACAATATCTAAAATTTTTTATCCTGGTTATCGATACGTTACAGGATGAGTTGTTTGGGGCTGCCAAATCATCCAAGATTGACTTGTAGTCAGGGTACCAATAGGTATCTCAAATTCATGGGGGTTACTACGAATTTCTAATTTAATGGAAAGGCTTGCTAGATGAAGACACCACGTGGGAGGAGCAAGTCTAAAAGAACAGTTTCTTCTCTTCCATCTTGAGGAATAATGTATCTTTTTGGGAAAAGAGTGATGTTAGATCGATGCCGAAACTGCCGAAGAAATTGAAAGCTTATGTTAGGAGCAGGTCTAAAAGGACAATTTAAGCATTTGTTAGTCATTATTATGGAATATAAATAAGGCTTAATTTGTTTAAAATTAGGGTCATATTATGTGTGATTGTTGTCTTCCATCCTATGGTTTGGGTTTTGGAGAGATTGCCGACTTC